AATGAGTTGTGCTTCCGATTGCAATGTCGGCAAAGACCCGAAGGGCACTGCTTATCTGAATGTCCCAATTTTAGGCAATTGAAAGAAAGCCTAGCGGCTTTAAGGGCATTTACACGTTCTTCGTGGTTCATTGCAAGAAAACGGGTGCACTTTGTAGTGCGATGCGGTCCTTGACAGTATGCGCATTTTCCTTCTTCTGCAGCTGCGACGTGGGATTTTACAGTACGTTGTGAACTAATGCGCTGTGGCCCTCGAGATGTAGCGTCGGTCCTGCTGGACCACGTGACAATGGCTGTGGAGAGGCTGTGGGCGCGTTGGCTCAAAAATGACAGTAGCTCATTTAACTTCGGAATTTCGGTAGGCGAACAACTCATGTTCCATTCACGCTGAGTGACAGTTGGAAGCTTAGAAACTATTATGGGAACAAGCATAGCATCCCACTCTACGACTGGCAGCCCCATCACCCGTAACGAACGCAGTGACTCCTGCACTGTATCGACGATGGCCAGTAATGATTCTGATGAGTCGTCTTACGATGGCTTAATGTTAAGAAGACGGGACACATGTGTTTCGGCTAACTGCTTCTTATTGTCAAAGCGTTCCTTCAGAGCACTCCATAATTCGCCATAGCCGCCCGAGTATACACTTCCCACGAGTGGCACTGCATGTGAGCTAACTGCCTGTCGCAACTTCCCCAATTTGTAGACCTCAGGATACTCGGTGTTGTGCACGAGTAATTCAAATGCGTCCTTAAACGCTAACCAGGTTTGCATCGTACCGTCGAACGTTGGAATGGCGAGAGGCTCCAACCTAAACTCACATTCATGCGAATGCTGCCTTCCTGCTTGTACGTTTGGCTTCGCACCTGTAATCGCGCGGTTGAGAATGCACCAAATGTCGTTCTATATATCTTCCACTTCTTCCCAGAGCGTTTCATGAGCCTCAACCTCGCCCTTTTCCGCACTGGCCACCAATAGCTCATGGTTAGCCACGAATCGCGCAAAGTGGCTTGAAACCGATTTCAATTCTTGCTCTAATTGGAATTCGTCATAGGAGCCAAGTTTACTCGCTTGCACTCGTTCATATATGCGTTTAATTGCTTTTATAGCCGACGCACGCAACCTTAATTCCGCCATTACCGAAAACTTAATAACTTTAATTTTAATGCAATTTGTCCTCACAGGAGGCACCAAAATGTTCTGTACAAAGCTTAATAAAACACGTTATTTCTCAACACGATTAGAAACACTTCTATTTTATTTTACAAAGTTGGACACATATGTATATATATACCAAAGCAAAGCTAAGTGAATGCTGGTAACGGCTAACTGTGCTTACATACAATATATTTATGTATATGGTTACGTACAAGTACATGGGTTGACAAAATAGGTACAAACATATGTATCATGAACGAAAGACACAAGATCAAGTAAGAACAAGAGAGTGAAAAAAGTCGATTTTTTTTAGCGGGTTCTACGCCATATTATTTCACTGGAAAACGAGCGAAAAGTAAACAAAGCAAAGAAAACAACGAAAACCATAATTAGCCAAAATTATTGTCAGCCACTTTAAATGCACAATTTAGGTAAAATGATGCAACAAAATGCTTTAAAATGTGTTGTCATGTTGAATTAACTCTTCTTTACTTGAATAAAAGTGTAAAATAGTGGTGCTTGTGATGTAAACAAACGCTCAGCTGACGAACCCGCTTTCGCAAACTTTTTTCTCAAAACCAGTTACAAATACAACGTCGCGTTCTTACGTGATCTTGTATTTTTGGTTCATGCATATGCACGATCCTGAAAATAAAGGTCGCGCCATTCGCGGACCGCTAACCCTCTCATCGTCGATTTGACAGCATCCACCCAATCGCTGACGTCATAAAATACTTTTGTTTATATTCACTGTTGCCAACTTAATGCTTTTCGCACCAAATTTAGTGGGTATTCAAAACCCGAACATTTTTGAGTTTGGTGCTTGGTGCGTTTTTGGTGCTTTTGTTTTTAGTTTGAAGACACCAAATTATAAAATCTTAAAAAAATGGAAGCAAAATTTATAGCAATCATAAGCGTGGTAAGCAACTTCACAAAAATTTTAATAAAATCATGGCACAATCATAAGCGACAACAAAATATGTGGCAGCACCTTCAATCAAGCCAGTAAAAATCGACCGTCGTGCAAGAAACATTGATTTTTATTAATTTGAATCGGCATCCTTACAATATAATTATGTATGCATATAAAGTCCATAAAATACACCAATAAATATTTGGTGCTTTTTCAAATTGAAAACTTGGCAATACTGCCTTTTGTTCGATGCTTCCTCTTTTTCTTGTCGAGTTCGTCTTGCTCTCTCATTCTGGTATTTATTGACGTCACGGCCAGTTACTCTCAGCTCGATTGGCGCAATCTTGTATTCTATCATTCTTGATGCATATGTATGTATATAAAATTGGGAGAGTATAAGAGCACTGGACGGCAGCCGCTCTTCAGCGACACCAGTTTCTTACCGCGAGCATTTAAGTGGTGGCCAGATCAGTCGAATTCTGCACAACATATATGGCTAAAATTACCGCCCAATTAATCATCAAAAAACATCATCCGATAATTTGACGCACACTGCCGAGAATAGGTGTGTAAACTTTCGCAGTACGCTATGTAAAGTCTATATATTATAAATAGTATATGTATGTACATATATGTAACATTTTTGTACAATGTTTATATGTGCTAGCATCCAAGTTAAAGCACAGGCAACATTAAATAAGAAAAACAAGTTTTTAGGAAACAAGACAACCACATAAATACACTTGTTTATGTTTCTCACTGTAATTACAAGAACACATCCCCTTTATTATATATATTAAATAAATTGATATAATTGATTTAGGCGAAAAAATCTACCAAGTTGTGCCCCTTTTGAAGATGGTTTGCGATATGTACATTTGCATATCGTTGCCTTAATATAGAAAGGCCCTATCTCACATCGTCGCTGAAATACACAAAGCCGTAACTAACTAAAATCTTTTATTGCATAAAACGATTTGGGGCCATATAATGCGATCAAATGCATCATAATCAATTAAAACGTAAATTTTCGATTTTTAGTTAGTTACGGCTTTTTGTATATCAGCGACGATGTCAGATAGGGCCTTTCTATATTAAGGCAGCGATATGGAAATACATATGTAGAGTAAATATGTGGGTGACATGAATTTAGCGCTTCCGTATTTTCGGTGCTACACTTCTTCGTTCAGTCTCTCTGTTCTACATTAACAGCAGCTAATTTGATCATATGATCCGCCACGATAGCGAATAAATTTATATATACAAATTTGTATCTACATGTACATACATATATTTAAAAATAGATAAGTGATGCAAGGGCTGATATAGCGCGCATCTCAACTCCCTACATATGTACATATACACATATGTATGTACATGCTTGCATTCATTTATTACGTCAACTTCTTATTGTTGTATTTTTTTGCAATTGCACCGGTGCATATGATATACAGAGAACGTATATTTATAGAGAAGGTCCAAGAACTGTGAATGCCACATTTTTCGAGCCAACAAAACTGGCGAAGCGCATTTTAAGAGCGACAAATATTTGGAATACTTAACAGCGAAAGCAAAATACAAAGCAGAAAAGAGAATATTAACAGAGCTAAATCTCACGAGAGCATTTGGACTGTTAATTAAACATGAATATTGAAGATTTTTGTGATATTTTGGGAAAATTTTCAAATAGAAAACCCAAGTAAAAGAAATTATATTTTTGTTCAATGATTTGTACAAGTAACATGAAATTAAATCGAAAATAGTATATAACATTCCCGATTTTCGTGATATTTTATTAATAATTGCAAATAGAAAAGTCCCATGTGTTTGTGTTTTTTTGTGAAAATATTTTTTATAAACAAAATCCTTTTCCCCGGTGATTTCCACAAATATCGTGAAAATAAATCGAAAATGTTATATAGCATTTTTCGATTTTTGTAATATTTTGTTAGATTTTCAATTATAAAACTTTATTGGTATTAGATTTTTTTGTAAATAGAGTAGAGATTTGTACACACAAGGTTAAAATAAATCGAAAATATTATATAACTTTTCCAATTTTTGTGTT